TTTTTACGCATGAGTGTTTTTAGCTTTTTTGCCATTTTTGTCTTTTTTTTTCATTGGATTTGCATTATCCAGATGGTAAGGCACTTTTTCTTTGCACCAATTCCATATCATCTCTCTAGGTAGTCCATAACTTAGTGCAATGATAATAGCAATAAGTAACATTTTATTATTTGTGTCATTCAATTATTTTGTAATATTCAGTTTTCTGTCAGGGAGCCAGTGCTCTTCCAGTCATTGCTTATGGTTTATACATTCCACACTTGTTTATCAACTGAAGTAATGTGAGAGCTCTTTCCTAAATGCTAAATGAGTCTAATCACCCCCCAAGAACTTTGTGGGCATGTGGCGAGTCATTTCTGTTACCCTGGCCTTTAGCTAAAATGTTTATGACAGCAAGTTTACATCACCCCAGCCCATAGCCAAGTTCTTCCATGCTGGCATGTTTGTATCACCAGGCCCTCAAGCCAAATTTTTTTTCATTATTTAATGGTTATGTCATCAGGATGATAGGAGTTGATGTGAATTAGAAGATATTTGCCTTTCTTCTGTTAGATTGCTAAAAGAATTAGTCCTATTACTGTGAAATTAAAGTAACTCCCCATTAACTGTGATAAGACCCCATTAACTGTGATAAGACTTTTTTGATAGAGTGGTGACTGGTAGGGAAGTATTTATTTAATTTGTAAAACTTTCTTTATAACTGTAGTACATGGATTTGGACTTTATGGTAAGAACTGTCAGACAGTTCAAATCTGTTAGATTATTGTATAAAAGCATTCAAGTAGGCAGTCAAATACCAGTAAAAATAGGCATAAAATTGGTTGTGAATTGTTTTACAATCAACTAATTGATTCTTTAAAATATAAGCTACTCATTGTAAAATTGAAAGTGAAATTGAAATATACTTAAATCCACAAATGTCCCAGAACAGCTTCTGGCAGTCTTTGCAATATTTTCCATAGTATCAACCCATGGTGACCTGTAACATGAGGTCTCTTTGCTTGCTGCTGTGAGCTAGACAGTTAATCAGATATGGAACTGCACACTTATTAATGCCCACTGTCCATCAACGTAACTAAAAGAAAATTGCTGCCATTATTGAGTTAATCTTTGAGTGGTGAACTGTAAGTTGTATGCAACAAAATAGTGTTTGTGGAGTGTAATGTTAAAAACCTTTCTGCAGGTTTCCAGTTCCTGTATACTTCAGTATTTGGCTTTTATTCTGCATTTTTATTCATTAGAACTGGTAAGTACCACTTTTTTCATTTGCAAACAGGTTGTATAAAAATATTTATTACTACTATATTTTGATTTGTAATTGTGACATATATAAGATTGAAATTATTATATTGTTTATTATTTCCTCATATTATTTTTCTGATCTTTTCTACAGGTCATTTCCTGCCCCTATTTGCAGTCCATGCCTTTTGCAACCATATGGGGCTGCCAGAAATGAAGGAGATGCTCAGTAAACCTACCCCTGTAAGAAACAAGCTAATGGCTTTCCATGTACTGGGTCTGGTTGCCTGGTATTTCCTGCTCTATCCCCTGACTGAACCTTCACTCTACAGTAACTCTCTCTATGTCTTATGAAGTTAAAAGATGCAGAGTAAGTTAACATTAAGAGCACTTTAGGTCTAATGCTCAACTAGTTAGAATGTTGTGAGATCCTTTAGACCATAATGATAGTTGTTGCTGCTAATTTTTGGGGTTGTCAAACATGAGCATAATTTCTCACTAATCAAGAATAGTTTAATATCTGTGTTGTGCTACTAATGTTAGGACTGTAAGACATAATGATCTGAAACACAGATTGGTTAAATAGTGCAATTTTGATGATAGGAGATGACGGAAGATACATCAAGTCTTTACTCTTACATGAAAAGATCTGAAAAAAGAAACTTTTTTCTCTTTAACAAGATAGATTATGCACACTTAATGATCATTTAGAAGCAATTGTTCACACATTTTGGGTGAAATGATTGTTGTTTATTTATGCTTACAGGCGTAAACATGTATATTGTTTTGATGTGAGTGTGCATGGGTGTTTGTGTATGTATGTATTATGTTCTTTTGTATTTCTGTCATATATTTTACATTATATTTGATGCCCTTGTTTCACTGTTGATTATGAATAGTGGCTTTCTGTAAATGAGATATAAATTAAAGATTCAGAGCAAGCACTTGGATGGGTCCTTGGATCTTGAAACATTGTGATGACATGCATGAATTTTCTCTCTGTTAAAAACTGGGTCTCATACATTGGTGAATTTCAACTTTATTTTTTGTATCATATAGTATTTTGTATTGAGTATCAGTATTAATGAATATTCACTTATTAATTTGCAAAAATATTATACAACTTCTTAAACACTTGTTTGTGAGATGCATATTCATAAATCACCTTCAGTTTTCCAGTACTCATGCACACATACATGTGCAAATGCATTAGCTTAATTTGCACACAGTCATCATGTGCACATTATTTTTTTCAGTATAAATGACCCTTTTTTAAATAACAGTGTCAGTTTTGATGAATAAACAGAATGTTTCTTCTAAAGGACTCAAATTAGAAAGAGTTGAAATTTTGAAATGGATACATTATGTTTCAGAATTGTTTTATTTATTGTGAATTAATTACTTCCTATGCAAAGTAATGAATTCAACTCTTTTCAGGTTATGGCACATATAAGCTAGATTTGTTTGCTAAATTTCAAATTGTTTTTTTTACAATTTGTCTGCCTTTATTTCTTCATCTGGAATTAGGATAATTTCACAATCAAAAGTGTGAAGTGGAATACCAGGTTATGCATAAAACTAAGATTCAAGTTTTATATATTACTGAAAAAATTAAAGTGCAGAATTGATAAACTTTAGGATGCTTACAGTGGAGAAAATTTGCAATTGTTAATCAAGGATTCTGTATTAGTTTATAGGTTTTAATCTGTTGAACATCTGTTTAAGAGTCATGATAATGATGAGTCATTGACTTAGAATACCATACATTTTGGTACTGTTATGGCTGGAATAAGTTCAAAAGCATGATTTTTGATATGAGGATAACTACAGGGAATTCTTGGAAATGTTCCAGGAGAACAAAAAATTCAGGATGACAGTAGTACTTAAGAGTTCAGGGTAATGCTGTATATTTCTTGAGGCAGAGTAGGTTGAAATATTGTAGTTAGATGGTTAAGAAAAGGAATGACAAAAGTGACAGTTGAAATTGTTGTTTGACAAAGAAAGATAAGGTTCATGTTTTTGCTCCCAGTGTACTTTTGTGCCAAAGCCACAGATTTGATTGTTTTCGTGGGGATAATTTTGAAAAGTAAAAAGCTGTATTAATGAATAGTAAAATGACAGTAAGTAATAGTGACATGACCATTCCTAACCAACAAACAGAGAGGAAACCTTCTCTTGTAATATGATTACTTTGAAAGATTTTCAGTAATTTGACTATAAGATGTGAAAATGGCTCTTTTTATTGGAAATTATTCGTAATGAAGATCATCGAAATGCAAATTGATTTTTACTTAATATGATTTTATACTAAATATAAAATACATGTTGGTATTGCCTGTGTACTTCCAAAAAATATATTACAATAAATTTTAAGTAGTGCAATAGCATTTAGCTATAAAACACATTTCTGCCTCTACTACATCTCAGTAACACTTTATTTGCAGAATGCATCTCTTCCTCTCAACTCCTTGACAGTGAATTGTCATGGTCTTGGATTTTCTCTTTGTTTTAATGTTGTGAGATGTAATTCATATGAGATAAAAATGTGGACTGAAGTATTTAAGATATAGCCTTATATATTTTCTAAAGGCAAATCTGATTTTAAAAAGTACAAAATACTGGCAAATGGGATCATATTGATATTTCAGTAAACTAAGGACGAAAATGTAATCTTGAAGCACAAGTAATTAAAAATCAAAATTGTGTCATTATCATAGAAACGATTATTTTTAGAAAGATGAAAATCCCTGTTGCTCATTTTCTGTTGGTACAGTCTATATGCATTTCAGATTTTCATGTAAAAAGTCTGGCTGTATGTTATCTAACTTGCTTGTACCACTTCTTTTTTGCATGCACACATTTAACTTGTACCTAACCTCTGCTTTATATTTTTCTGTATTTGCATTACTGCCATATCTTTTACTTGTTTCTAAGAAAACAGTTATGCAATAGAGGTATCCTGTATAATACCACATAGTTATTTCAAGCTCTTTAGAGCCAGAATTAAGTAAGAATTGGTAGTAGAATTTATTACTAAAACAGATGCCAACATAATATGAAGATGGTGAGATAATTTCTAGAAGTGCAGTATTTTCACTTGTCATGTTGGTTTGTTTTTATCATTTTTAGCATAGTAATTTTGCATACATCTATGCTTACTGGAATATTTTGACCATTATTTTCATTTTACTGAGCACCTCATTGCATTTATTTTACTGCAATATCTCTCAGGAGATTAGTGCAGTGATCAGTGAGGGAGGACTATTTATTATGGAAAGTGAGTGTCAGTTTTTTTGTGGAAGATTGACAAGAGACTGTAATAGATGCTTTTCCTTGTGTTTCAAAGGACTGAACATGTTCTAAACCTAAGTAGAGAACTGTAGATAAGTGTGCCTTTTTTATTACTAGTATGTGTAATACAGTGATTTTTTGTGCATTTAAAGAGCAAACCTTTGTGGGAATCATCTGGAAAATCTAGAAATTCATATAGCAGCCAGTTCATTTATAATATGAGCTGATCAGCAGTGTGCCAGAAGTTGCACATACTTTCAAAAACTCATGAAGTAGTTGCTTTGAAAGCATTGTGCCTTCTTTCCCCTGATGGTGGTCTTACTTCCCAGTATTAAAATGAAGTCATATATTATCAGTCAGTTTTCATGTCTTTCTGTTATGACCTTGCACTGGATACTTTGATATTTCATACTGTTCTGTGTGTAAATTGGCCTGGAGACCACAGGCACATTTCGCATCTGTCCCTTGTA